GGGAAGGAGCCGGCCCCGCCGGGAGCCAGCCGGGGGGGATGGGAAGCACAGGGGGAGTTAGAAAATTCAGGGCATCTTCTATTCCCAGAGCCAGGAGTTTCCATAATGATATGGGGCTGAGATTTATCTGTGCAAAATATCTAACGTCTTGTGAGTGTAGCAGTAACGGGCTCTTGGCGCTACAGTTAATTACAATTGCTGAGGTCAACTCAATTAACATGGATGATCATAATAAAAAAAAAAACAAACAAAAAAGGGGGATAATTAATGCCTTGGGCACACGCCAGTTGTGGAGCCACGGGCTGTTTGTTTCAACTCCTGCAGCAAGGGAGCAACCAGTGGGTAGCGTAGCCTCATCCTGGCCCCGTTTCACTCACTTTTCACCCCACAGAGCCTGTTTCCAACTCCACCACGAGGAACAAGTCCATGTCTGAGTGGCGAGGGCTCTGGGCCAGCCCTGCCCCAGGACCCAGCCACCTCGGGCACTCAGCAGCAGGAGGGGCCAACGCGCCGCGGCTCCGCGGCAACAATCAGGTTATAGATGTGTATGATAATCTGCCATTTCCCCAACATTTAACAGACTGTCTGGCCCAGGAGAAAAGGCCAAAGTCCCTGTTCTCCTTCGGAGCTCTCGCACATTTTTCCTCCCCGTCCAAGCTCAGCTGAGATTTTTCTCTCTTTGCAAGAGGAGCTGAAAGTTCAATAGTTTAACACGGAGTTTTTCTGTGGCGCTGGGGGGTTTGTTACACTCGCAACAGTCTGATCCTCCTGGAGCCTTAGCTGGGATCCCTGCCCATGCCCATGAGCTATGGGGGGAGATGCTGGTCTTCAGCCATGTCTCCTGGTTGGACCATGTTCCCATGCTTGTATCTCAGATGAACCTTGGTCCTACACTTGTCCCTTAGATGGAACTTGGCCCCACATTTATCTCTTGAACAGCCCTTGACCCCATGCTTGTCCCTTGGATAGATCCCCTGCATGTAGGCTGGAGTTGGTCCCTAGCCCCATCTCGTTTTGCTCCTGACTGAGCTCCCTGGGAGGACCCTGGACTGCATGCACCGTTTGTGATGTCTGGGGCTGCTGATGGACCCCCCATTACCTGCACACCGTGACCATCCCCCGTGGGACCATACCCCACTGACAAGAATGACAATAGGAACTTCCACAGCAATAGCCACCAACAGCCACGGCTGAGCAGGGCAGCTCTTCCTACCTGTGTCTAGCAGGAGCTTTGCAATGGGGAAGTTGGAGTGGGAGACACTGTAATGGAGAGCCGTGTTGCCATTCCTGTCAGCCAGGTTCACCACCACCTGCAGGAGCTGGGGCTGGGTGGCCCCCAGCATCTCCAGATACGCCGCAACCACCTCTGGGCTGGAAGACTTGCAGCTGGACACCCGGAACCACTCCTGGCAGACGCTGCTCAGGACGTGCCGCTGAAAACACACAAGTCTCACCGTTACTCCTGGGGCAGTCACCCCCCAAACCAGCTCTTGCCCCAGCTCCTCGCCCCGCACCACCGTGCTCTGGCATCACCCAGCCTGTATTTAGCTTGTGGGTTTGGGATTACTGCTGGAACTTTAGGGGGAAAGGCATTTCCTGTGGTAACTTGAATGAGTAAGCAGATAAATCCTCCAATTATTTTTTTTTTCCCCTTTTCCTTTCTCATTGGCCACTCAAAAACTGACTCAGAGACCATCTCATCCCCCTCTCTCCACAAAGCTGCCCGTGGCACGGCGGGGCAGAGCCTGCAACGTGCAGTCAGAATTATCCTCTCCATTAAACCTAACAGAGAGTGGGAACCACGTCTGAAATGGGGTTGAAAAAGATCCGTACCAGATGTTTGTCGCTTGTGGTCCTGATCTCTGAGAGGTGCTTGCTGAGGAGCTGGCAGCTGGCGAGGAAATCTTCAGAGGGTTTGCATCTAAAGGGAAAATACTTCTGTAAATCCATCACGGGACAGAACTTGCAGGAGGTACTGAAGCAGGGGGGAGAACATGCAGTTTAGGTCAGAATATGGTCAATGCTTATTGAAGTGCTTAACTTGATGGACACAAGTTGTCCCCTTGACTTGAAAAGGGTTTTAAGTACAAAGTTAAGCACATATTTAAGGGGTTATATCCAGAGTCCCACATCTGTATGGCAAACTTAATCTGTTACAAGAATCCTTAAAGTGGAAAAAAAAATCTTAATTCTTGAACCTGCAAAGAATTTTACTGAATAATTTTACATGGAAGGGGAGAAATGAGCTAATTCTCACCAAATATGACTCACTCCATCTTTTCCACAGTCAAGTGTAGGGCCTGAATCAATCCCCACAAGATTCCGTAGTAACTCAAAAAATATTTAGCTCTTTAAAACCTTTTCCCATGGCTTTCCACTGAGGAGATGAAGCTCCTCCCCAGCCCTGCAGTGGCTGCAGAAACGTGATGGGCAGCACCATGACCATCTGGTTACCTGTCAGCCTTGTGCTGAGTGCAAGGTGCTGCTTCTGATGGCTCCTGCTGGTCATCGTCCTCACGTCTCTCCTGTGAGGAGGTCCCTGATGAAGCCTCCTCGCCTTCAGCTCCAGCCTCTGCCTGCATGGGCTCCAAACCATCAGCTCTTCTCTCCGTCTCGCTCTCCACGTCACCATCGGACGGGCTCTCCTCACAACTTGTGTCTTCACTGGAAGTAGTTTCGTAGCTATTTGAGGACACCACATATTATTCACTCCTTCCCCAGCCACAACCACAGGGCTTTGACCAAGACTCATTGAAGACACCCGTTGACTCCAATGGGCCTTGGATGAAGCCCGGAGTGACACACAAGCTAGAAGGTTAGAGCCACAGCCAAACTTGGGGTTAGTCTTTTTTTGGCTTCTTAAGTCAGCAGGAGGGTGATAGAAGCAGTTAATTGGCAGCAGGCAGGGTTACTTCAGGGACTGCTCGGTTGGTTTGGAGGGATGTTCATCTCACAAGCCCCAGGGTGGCCAGGCAAGGGCTGTGTGCCACCTCCCTGCTGGGAGCTGCCAGCATGCCGATGGGGAGCCGTGAAAAACAAGGTGGGAGGGGCAGCATGTCAGCAACCTGGGGACTGCCAGACAAAAACTGTGTCTGCAGCTCCAGCACAGAACTGAGCCCACCATTCAGCCAGCCCCTCTAAAGACACCTCTCTTCTGGCTGTCCAAAAGTATTAACAACAGTAACGTCTTCCACGAGACAGAACGTTTCACTCTGAGGAATCCCAAAACATATCTCAAATCAGTGGAGATTACTCACTACAAGTTGTACAGATTTCAATGACTGTTGGTAGAAGCAGCTCTACACAACAAGAGTAACAACTGATGAACCCAACAGAAGCAGCCATCGAGCTGGGAAGTTGGAGAAGTGTTAGGTCAGCAGAAACCAGCATCCAAACTTGCACACATCACTGTTTGCACAGCAAAGGGACACTGGAACGTGTCCTGCCCTCCTCATGCCAGCACACGTTGGTCTATCTGCTTAGCTCAAAGGCCAAAGAACACTAGATACTGGATACACAGGGAATTGGGTGCTGGAGCACAACCTAAAATGTGAGTCTCCTCCACCCTGAGGAAATTTCTTATTTACTAAAATAGTCTTTTCTCAGTCCTTGGACCAACTTTTATTGGAGCATGGAGGCAGGTTAGTGGCAGCGTGCCCACCCAGGCAATGCTGACCTCCTCCAAAACCCAGCAAAGTTAGTGAGAAGCATCCCACAGACCCAGCTGGGGTTTGGGGGAAGCCCTTGAAGATGGGTGTGCAGAGCGTGTCCGTCCCCAGGGTGCCCCTCGTTGCTCTGAAACACCAACATCTTTTCTGCAGGGTTACTTACAGCTTATCAGTGTTGGATTAAAGAAGGGAGAAAAGAGGCTCCATTTCAAATGGCCTTTTAATCAAGAGGTTTGGAGAGGAAAAGAGGGGAAAAAAAGAATGACTCCTTCAGCGATACAGAGGACATCACAGGTTAAAAGGCAGTTTCATCTTCTGAATGGATGCTTACCCACCATTTACCCCAACAAACTGAAGATTCTTTTTGGTCCCATTGCCTCCTGCATGGAAACCATAACCTTTCTTTTTCATGATAGATTTAAGACTTGTGGTTGGAGAGATTTCTAGCAAAATACAAAATAATAGATTAATTAAGCAGATGTGCCATAATTATCAATGACTATTCCCAACCTTTAGCAACAAACTACAAGTCTTAACAGCAAGCACCTAACTTCATCTTATGAGATGTCTGTCTTGCAGAACTACAGATGCACCTGGCCACAAGCTGAACCTGCATGTTAGCTTGAAAATACAGGTCTCAGACATCTCCAAGTGACTGGGAATTATATATGAGTCCCATGAATACAAGTAGGTTTTATCTTTGTGATAATGTATTCTTTTTTTTTTTCCAATAGTAATGTATTGGAAATCTCCTATATAAATCTCCTATAATACTACAGGGATGAATCTTTCCATTGGACTTTGAGCAGTCTTGCTATGTGTTGCTGATAAGTAACAGGTCACTTATCTATCTGCAAAGCCACTCCAACAGTGAACAGGCAGCCTTCAGTTTTGGGTTCCCATCCTCACATAAGCCCAAACTATTTGAGACGAATGTCTGTGAGCAGGGACAGACCTTTTCCCAGCCTGAAGGGGGTTTGGTTCTGGTGAGCTCCATGCTGATTTACCCCAGCATGACTCCCATATTCTTGTACATTGAAATGGCCAATCCAGTTAAGGAAAATGGTTATTTGATGAAACAGCAGCAAGATTGGCCGCTTTTGGAAGCTGATCCTGTGTATAACTGAGCCATGGCTTTATCAGCTCCTATGTGGTTTCGTTTGCTTTTTAAATTTAAGATCAAATAGGCAAATCTCTGCCCATTGTAAGCTTTCTCATCCATTTTTAGGGGGACTGTTTCTCATTTGACTGTTACTAATTATAGCACCACATCGCCCCTGCTCAACACTTGAAGAGATGGGAAGAGATTTGGCCCAGACACGTGGAAAGCTACTATGCCAATATTATTTACCCAACTGTTGATAGTGTGTGTTTGAATTCTCCTTATCTGTGGGCCCCTGTGTGGAGTAGGCGGACAGCAAAGAGTTTAAGGAATTAACTAATTGGTTCTGAATGGAGCTGAGCTTGGAGGCCGGCTGCTTAATAGCGCTCGCCAGCTCGGGGTAGCCATGCTCCAAACACAGCCACTGCTCCTGCAAAAGCTCCTGGATTTTTTTTACGTATTGGCCGATAGGGTCAACAGCAGGGAGATCTTCATGGTCACGGGGCCCTTCCTCTTCCAGCCCATCTCGAGGTTTATCTTCTCCAGAGTCTGCCTTGATTTCGCCCATGTTTGAGCCGTTCCTTGCTCCTCGATGGCTTTCTGCAGTCCCTGCGTGAGCAGCGAGACTCTGGCTGTCGTAGTTATTCCTGTGATTTTGGTTGTCGTCACTGAGGTGCTCGTCAATCTTCAGTGGGGTGAAGCACGGCACGTGAAGTCCAGCCTCAGGGTCAGCTTCACCAAAACGTCCGGGTCTGCTGCAAGCTGCCAGTCCCTGATCTCTCCAAGCACCCGGCTCCATCGCCTGTGCGTCGTCCGCCCTCCAGACCCCGCAGCCTGGGGATTTGGTGGGGACTGGGAGGTTCACGTTGATGCCTTTGTCGTGGGCTTGCTTGGCCCCAGCTCCCTGCGAGATGACGGTGTTCACCGCGGCATCGCAGCGCTGCCGAGCCCCTCCGCTCCACCCCGAGGGCAGCTTGGCTGCTTTGCTGTTTTCCCAGCACAGCTTCTCTTCTAACTGAGCCTTGGAGCTGGCCAGGAACTTAATGCTTTTGTCCTTCTCCTTAATCTCATGATCCTGCTGCTCCAGCACTGCTCTGATCTGCTCGAGCTCTTCCTTCTTCTTGCCCAGCTGCTCCTCCAGATCAGCAATACGCTGCTTCAGCGCCGCAACCCCACCGGGCTCTCCAGCGTCACCAGGCTGAGGGCCACAGCTCTCCTTGTTCTCTCCAGCCCAGACACTCCTCTCCTCAGCTTTCTCCAGCACTTTCGCAGCGCTTTCACTCCCACTTAGCCCACTTTCCCCAGGGTTCGTGCTCTCCTCTAGGAGCTGGAGGGCAGC